TAGACCTTAAACTTCTAATTTTAAATATTTTAAGTTTAGGAATTATTTTTTATACTTTTTTCATTTGTAAATTATGAAAAATATACTTTTTTTTTTCTGTCAGTTTATTTTATTAAAGATATCTATATATACACATTTTCAATCCTTGAACCTAAACTTTTATTATATATGCACATTTTTAATCTTTAAATATATAAAAATATGCATATATGAACAGATTTTATGGATTAATTAATTGAAGAACTAAAAGGTTGCATATTTTTTTATAATTCAAGGATAAAAAAAATACAAAAAAAAATACTAAAATAATTTAATGACTAAAAATATTTAAAATAAAAAATTTAGACACCAAAAATAATATTTAACCTAACGAAAACTAAGCGGTTGGCACTCAGTTCCTCACAGGTGAAAACTGACATTATTTTATGCGAAATATACAAATATATAACCCTAAATTATGTTACTTGGAACACATCTACCGGTCAACAAAAATTAGTAGCAAATTTGTCCCTCAATTGCTCAAGTTATAGAAATTCCTCCAAATTGAATGGGTCACGTCAATATGATGTTAACTAGCGTCACCTGGGTTAAGTTAGAAGATGGAAGGGGATTGTTCTTTATTGTGTAATTTAAGAAAATAAAATCTATAACTAAATTAATAGATAATGGAGCAAATGAAATCAATCAATTTTGGGCAAATTGCTACAGATTATCAGTTTGAGAACAAATCTGGTAGCAATCTACTTTGACATGGGTGAATTTGCTTGTCTTGCCGCCTGTGTTTGGTATTCAAAAGTTGCAGCAATTGCACTTGTTTCTCATAATAACATGTGTGTAACAGAAATGATACTAAAGAAATGATTTCAATTTAGAAAGGTAATTAAACAAGTACATAATGCCTTTTCCAATCTCATATTTGAAGTACCAAACCTCTTGCAAGAAATGAACCAAAAATTGTTCAATCTCTACAATACTTGTCTGTGTATGTTTCACTCTGAATTTAATTTCAACAAACCCCTCTGTTTCTTAAATTCTCTTCTATCCATTTTCAATTTCAAATGCAAATTAATGAATGTATGCGAAGGCTGCCATGGCCAACGCATGGGATTGTCCTTTTGGTCGATCATAAATCCTTCTGGTTTCTTCTAGGGGGGTTTTTTGAATATCCATTAATAATATTGTAAATGAAGCTTTGAAGGAAGCCGAAATACAGCGTTAATGTTAACCAAATTGTACTCGACCTCATCCACCAACTTAAACACTGTTACATACTGCTGCTGCCTCGTGAGTAGGACTCAAGACACATTTATTTCTCCTACAGGCACCTCCTAATTCCACCATAATTTGAATCCGCAGAATATAGCTCACCCAATGTATTAACCATGCAACAAAACTATTAACCAAAAATAGTATCGTTTGCTTTCTTAGTAATGAAAATTAAAGGCTGGTATGCTACGGGTTTGCATTGTATTTAACAACAGTTGCTTGTTAGTACTTAGAAATTTTGTTAAGTCACTAGAATAGCTCTGACACAATATTTTAAATCTACACTAAAAATATCTCAATTTCTAAGAAAATGACACGTCAAAAACTCTATTTACGTTTGTGAGGACACCGCAGCATCAAATTTCACAGTAATAATTATTGGCATGTTCCATTCATTTCATCTTGTAAATTTTTGTAACTTATTCTTTAATTTCTTTAAACAATTCTGAACCACCACCAAATTATTCCACCTAAACTTGGTTGTTGATAAATAAAAATTAATTCGTTCAAAAATATGCCACCTACACTTTGGTGTAATTGATAAGAGAGTTTAGGAATTCTCCTCCTTTTATAAATTATAACAATTACAACTCAATGGTGGATGTCTAACCTGATTAATGTTTTAATGGAAACAATGTATTGCGTGCAAAGTATACATACAAGATTAAAACCTGAAACTTAATTTGTAATTGAATATGAGATAAAGTATTTTCTTCAAAGACACTGCATAGGCTAAATAAACCCTTTCTCACCATAATTTAGATTTTTTTATTTTTGTTTTTTGTTGTCAAAAGAAAAAAAGAAAAAAAAGAAAAAAAAAGAGGGATCTAGATGATTAACTAGGCTTGCATCCATCTCCAAAAAAGTATTAGTTAGAATTTTCAAGTTCAAATTTTAAAACAAAAGTAGGAGAGATTTGATAAAAAAAAAAAAAAAAAAAAAAAGGAATCTAGATGATTAACTAGGCTTGCATCCATCTCCAAAAAAGTATTAGTTAGAACTTTCTAGTTCAAATTTTAAAACAAAAGTAGGAGAGATTTGATAAAAAAAAAAAAAAAAAAAAGGCTTCGGAGTTCCTTCTTGTCTCTTAAGTTCCCATATCTTTTTAAAACGTGCTTTGTCCAAAGATGTGACTATTGCAGAATTAAACCAACAGAAGCTAGTGATGGGCTTTGGAATCATTCTTGGAGGAGAAAACCAACGTGGAAGGACGTTGGAAGTACTACAGCACCCTTCCTTAAGGACCTGCGATTCTCAAATGGCTTTCCTGATCAGAACACATGGCAGCATAGTTCATCAGGCTACTCAGCCAAAAAAAAATGCCTATTGCTTCCTAGTAGATGATTCCTACCCATATGGACCACTTGCTCTCTGACTAAGGTCAGTGTTTTTGCTTGAAGGCTCTTTCTCAATGGCCTTCCAACAAGGGACAATATGATATTGCTATCTAGAGGCATAGATTTATCCGAAAATGACAAATGCATGCTATCTAAAGAGGATGCTGATAATGTTTTTGCAACTTGTAGCAAATTAAAGGTTAATCTCTTTGGATTCATGTTGCTAGCTAGGTGGTGGGTAAGCTTTCATGGGAGTGCTGGTCATTAGTTAATAATTCTGACAGCAGTTTGGGCTATTTGGACAACCCAAAACAGCATCAGTTACAATGGATCTTCCTAGGATGAAAACATAGTGTTTGATCTTATACAAACCAAGCCCTTCTAGTTGGATAAAAGGAAAATCTGAGGGCTTGATGTTCTCCTTTAGTGATTGGTGCTTATTTCCTCATCTTTGTTCTATTGAATCCCACTTTTGAACTTGCATTTTCTATCTGTGAGTTTATGTTTTTTATTTCATAGAAGAATGATGTATAGGGGTTTGGAGTACACTTATACTCTCATCAATAAAATTTTTTATTCATGCAAAAAATGTCTTATTTTCTCTATTTATTATGATTTTGGTTTTTAATTAATTTGTATATTTCACATTTTTTTATATATTAGGTAAGTACTACTATATTTATAAATCAGTTTTTTTAATAAAAATTACAATTTAATTACTTTAATATAAATATAGTACTAATTATTAAATATATAAAAAATAAAAATTAAAAACTAAAACTATACTAAATGTTGTCTT